TTTACAGTGGACGATGTGGGTTTATCGAGTGAGTTTTAGACGTAGTCTTTATAATTAGGAGAAGAAACAACACCAAAAGGTACGAGACTGGACCTAAGACTGGTTATTGAGCTCGGGCAGACCCTGGACTTAGTAAACAGTTATCGTAGGAACCTATGTCAGTGATGGGCTTTATTTGTGACTACAATAAATCTGGTCGAGGCAGGGTTTGGCTACAGTAAAACTTGGGTAGGCCCCTGGATTTTACAACTAAATACGGTACTTTCGAGCGGGGTCTTTGGGTATTAACGACTACAGTAAAACTAGGGCGGACCCTTGGTTTTAATAATAACTACGATAAAATTCGGGCGGACCCAGGGTTTTAATAAGAACTACGATAAAACTCGGGCGTACCCAGGGTTTTAATAATAACTACGATAAAATTCGGGCGGACCCAGGGTTTTAATAATAACTACGATGAAACTCGGGCGGACCCAGGGCTTTAATAATAACTACGATAAAACTCGGGCGGATTCTGGGTTTTAATAATAACTACGATATAACTCGGGCAGACCCAGGGTTTTAATAATTACTACGATAAAACTCGGTCGGACCCAGGGTTTTAATAATTACTACGATAAAACTCGGGCGGGCCCAGGGTTTTGATAATAACTATGATAAAACTCGGGCGGACCTAGGGTTTTATTACTAATTACGGTAAACTTGGGCGAAACCAGGGCTTGGATAATAACTACGATAAAACTCGGGCGGACCCAGGGTTCTGATAATAACTACGATTTAACTCGGGCAGACCCAGGGTTTTGTTAATACTGACTACGATGAAACTCGGGCGGACCCAGGGCTTCGTTAATACTAACTACGATAAAACTCGGGCGGACCCAGGGTTTTATTAATAATTACGATAAAACTCGGGCGGACCCAGGGTTTTATTAATAACTACGATAACACTCTATTAACGGCCGATATGTTAGTTAATTACGCGTCGGGGTTACGGTTCGGTTAAGTTAAATCGATTCTCAGGTTACGGTTATGATCACTTGTTATAATTAATTTATTTATTCAACAGGCTTGATTGAGACGGGTCGAAGGTCAGGGAAAAAAGAATACGCACTCGTTGTCGAAATTATAATTCATTATTTTTTGTCTTTATTCACTGTTGGCTTCTTTCGCCTTTTCGTCTTGTTCACATTAATTCACCAATCTCCGTTCTACAATTTTACGATCTAATCGCGTTTCTCGCTGCACCAGTAAAATTCTGCACGACTGTACCGTTTCGCTTACCGACTAAAAACACGTGGTCTGTCTAATTGCGACTTATCTCGTTTTCTCCAAGTACGACTATCCGGCATCGATATTCGCGTGTCAGTCCCTTGCGTTCCTTCAATTTTTGTTCTCGTGCCCTTGGCCTTTCCGATCTCACCATTTTCTTACCACGCAGTCGCAGTGGTGAAGTTCAATTTCGCGACTCCCTTTCTCTTTTTGGCAACAGCAACTACTCTGATCTGCCCAGTTCGCTTTTCGATATTCCCTCTCGCCTCTCCGTTGTCGTCGACCGCGCAGTCGCTGAGGTGGGCTTAGCGTTCCGTTCAGGTCGTTCGGTTTACTGCGCTCTCATGCTCTTTTGTGGTGAATTCCTTAGGCAACTGCGTAGGAGTTGTTCCCGGTCTTGCCTCTCTTCCCCGCTCTCCTCTCTTCCCCGCTCTTCTCTCTCCTTTCCACTTATTGAATAATGTATTTATGTTTGTTTTCGCCTAGGCTTATTATGCCAATTATTTAATTCATTGTTTTCTCTTAAAGCTAAAAAATCAAAAAGGATAACAATACTAGTAATAACAAAATACGCATATTTCCTTCTCCCCTCCGTGGGGATCGGGAATAATTGTGGCGGCGTCGGAATCGCCGTCACAACTTTGACCAGGCCATGTCTATCTTAGTTGTAAGGATGCTCTCTGGCCAGGATACAACTCTCAGTCGGATCCAGAGGTCCTTTTACAAGAAATTTGTAAAGTCACTGAGACATAGGGCTAGAGAGTAATGTTCGCACGGCGAACGACGATTTTTGATAAATTATCCCGAAGTGGTCCAGGACCTTCGAGGGTACGATAACGTCAGACCACCAAGTCCTTCCGGGACGGAAAATTCCACGGGCTGGACCTTCGGGCGAGGCCGCAGCCGGGTTCTATCGTGGTTGGCCGAGATACGTGGTTCGAGGGGCCAAGAATCCCACGGGCTGGACCTTCGGGCGAGGCCGCAGCCGTATTCTATCGTGGTTGGCCGAAATACGTGGTCCGAGGGGCCAAGAATTCCACGGGCTGGACCTTCGGGCGAGGCCGCAGCCGGGTTCTATCGTGGTTGGCCGGCTGGAAACAAGTTTGATTAGTCGGAAGGATCTGCCTTTCCGTTAAGATGTGGGATTAATAGGGGCCGGTGAGAGGATCTTCCATCTCACCGTCGGAGTTAATAGGTTACGAAGGGATCTGCCACTTCGCGGTAGGATACGAGGAGAGGATGCGTGAGAGGATCTTCCGTCTCGCCGCGGGGGTTAGTAGGACACGAAGGGATCTGCCACTTCGCGGTAGGATATTAGAGGGGAATGCGTGAGAGGATCTTCCGTCTCGCCACGGGGGTTAGTAGGGCACGAAGGGATCTGCCACTTCGCGGGGGGGGGGGATTAAGTAGGAGAATGAGGGGATCTTCCGCCTCACTACGCAGGCAGGTTAGTGGGTGAAATTCAGTAGATCGGGATAACGTGTATGTATATGGTGCAAATAATTTACCGCTTCCAATTGGCTCATCAGTCGCTAACGGCCTGAATCACTCGGGGAACAAAGGGGTACGGGGTAAAAAATAAAATGCATAACAATCCGGCTTGACGTTTCTTTTCGTACGAGTTCACTCAGTTTAATTCTTTGGGTTTTAAAACGTCCCTGTGTTTCACTGCGCCGATTACACTGATTCACTAACCTTATTTCCTACCGACCGCGTTCTCTTTCACACGTGTTTTCTTTATTTTTACTTTGTCCGCGTGCGCGACCGATCGCTTCGAAGTCCAAGAGCCGAGAGCCTCCCGGAAACCGCCGTGTGACCCTCTCATCCTTTTGGACCTTTCTCACCAAGGAAGTTTTGGTATTTTCCCTATTTTCCAGTATTTTTCTCTATGGTTGCCACCTCGGGCGGATGGTGCGGAACCAAACTTGACCTATTTTGGTTTTATACCCAAAAATCCATAAGACCGCTTAACCATTACTAAATTATAATACTTCATTTTAAATCTCTTACATACTAATGGTAATAATGTGAAACTTAGATGACTATTGCTTAAATATATATTGTGGCGGCCTAGCCGTTAGGCGGGATCGTCACACCCCCCTTTCCTACCGGGGGCTGACGATGAACCGCCCGTCGCTCTTCACGGTGACGACGTAGTGCCAATCCAGTCCCTTAACGGCGAAGCGAACGCGATGTCCTCGTCCGGCTTGTTCGGCCGCCCTCTCGGCGATCAGACGAATGGCCGATGTCGGCAATCGCCGCAGTTCGCCCGTCCCAATCCAACCTTCAGGTAACGGGGCTAACTCGTCTCGAGGTACCTCCGGAGTTGCTATGGATGAGGTCAACTCCTCCATGAACGACCCGTCCCAACCGGTCCCCTGGATCTCGGTCAAGACCTGATCGAGAACTCCGTCCTCCCATTCGGTCAGTGGTGCTCCTGGCGGTGCGCAGATCGGGGATTGGTGTGACGTCGATTGGACTGCAACGTCGTCCTCCTTGGCCTCGTCCGTCGGGTCCGGGTCTGCCGTACTGGCCCCCGCTGCCTCCGAGTTCTGGAATACCCGACGGAACAGGGGGCGATCTTCTACCCCGTCCTCGCTGTCGGTTGCCAACTCGCACTCCATAAAATATTTCACGTGGTGAGTCCCGTGGTGCGAACTCACGCGGCAACGCTTCGTCTCCTGCCCTCCGGTCTCCCGTGGTGAGCGCCGTAGTCCGACTGGGGATGTCTGGACCGCCTGGACGCGAGTTTCCCTCGGCGAGCGTCGTCGGCAAGTTGGCGACGTCTGGACAGACCGGGCACGGGTCGGGGATGTCTGCGTCTCCTGCGCGCGGGTCTTCTTCGGCGAGCACGGCGGCCGACGGGGGGACGTCGGGACCTCTGCCTGGGGACGGAACGTCGCGTCCCAATCCAGAGCGGGGGTAGCGGTGGTGATGGAGGTTCGTCCACGTAAGGACCTTCGGCGTGTATCCAGGGTGTCTTAAACACGACCGACTTGACCTCGATGCGCATCATCGCGACATGCCCTTCCCAGCGGCTGACTTGGTCTTCGACCGTACGATGACACGAGTGTTCAATGGAGGGACGTTGATGGGACTCGGTGTATCGCGGGTGACCGCCTCGAGGATCTCGCCTGGTCCACGGCTGTTCGTCGTCTCCTCGCGGTGCGTAATACCCTGGCCCCTGTGAGCGACGACCTCTCGTGTAATCCTGAGGCTCGTCGCGTTCGTCGCTGTCGCTCGCGTTGCTGGAGTCGTCCTCGACGTTGAACGCTGCCGATGGTCGATCGGGTCGTCGTGTTTCGCCGGGTTTAGGGCTCCACATGCCCGCAAACCGCGACCCACCTGTACCCCCACGCTCCTGGTCGTCGGAAGACTCAGTGCCGCCGTGTGGGTCTTCTTCACCTTGGCCATCGTCGATAACCTGGTCCTCTGCGATCTCTCCCTCGTCCCCCGATGTGTCCGAATCTCCTCCGCTGTATCCTTCCGCGACCCACTCGTCGCGATCGGAAAGGTCGTGATGAAAAGATTCGGTATCGTCGGAACCATCCGACAACTCGATGACTTCTTCCATCTGAAAGCGGAGACTAAACTTATAGAAACGAGACCCTTATTGATTAAGCTCCCTACCTATCGGTGCAGTGAAACCTCTACTTAGAATACTTAGATAATAACATAGGGTGTGTTAGTACAATTCAGCTTAGAAATTACCGTATGACCTTGTATCCTACTTAACCTCTCGTGTCGGCTCCCTGGGTAGCTTCGTCATCTTCTTCTGCGGCCGCATTCTCGAAGTCCTCTGAGTAATAGGGTTTCAGTTGGCTGATGTTGGCGGAGCGTGAACGTCTTTCTCCGGGGCGGCGTAACAGAACAAGGTTAGGGGATGTGAACCTCATTACGGTGTAGGGACCGTCATATTTGGGGCCAATTTGGCGGCGAAACCTTCGGCTGCCTTCGAGAGGGGATGTTGGCGTACCCCCACTTTGTCACCGAGCTTCGGTCTCCACTCACGGCGTCGAAGGTTGTAATGACGTGCTTGCTCTTGGGAAGCACGTTGGAGGTTGGATCTGACGATGTCGAAGATTCCTCTGAGTTGGAGCGCTTTTCCTGCGGGGTCCTTAGATATCACCGCCGATCCAGGGGTGACCTCGTCGTATAACATAGTAGGGAGTCTGGGTTCGCGTCCTTGCGTCAGAAAGGCGGGACTGTATCCCGTCGAGTCCGATACACTTGCGTTGATGGCGAGCGCTATTTCCGGTAACAGCTCGTCCCAGGAACTTTGGTCTCCCTCGGTGAGTTGGGCTATCATCGTCTTGACAGTCCGATTCGTCCTCTCGGTAGGGTTCTCTTGTGGACAGTATGGGGCAGTATATTGGACCTCTACCCCTATCGTGCTGAAATACTCTTTCAAAGTGCGACTGGTGAATTGAGTACCATTATCGCAGACGAACTTCCGATGGATGCCGACCCGACCCAGTATCCGTTCCCGGAATGCCTTCTGAACCTGGGCGGCGGTAGCTTTCCGTAACGGGATCAACTCCACCCATTTGGAAAAGATGTTATGAAACACGAGGAGCATGGTGCTTCCGTGCTTCGACCGAGGTAGCGGGCCGACAAAGTCTGCGCATAGAACGTCAAACGGTTCGCTTGTTACGCGGGTTAGCATATTGCCTGCCGCCTTCGTCTGGGCGGTTTTAAACTTCTGGCATGACTCGCAGCGCTGGACGTAACGCTTCGCGTCTCTAAACAAGCCGGGCCAGAAATACCTCTGCGATAGTCGGGAAACGGTTTTTCGGACGCCCAAATGTCCAGCCGTGGGCGCGTCGTGGCATACCGCACGTCGAACTGGAATTGTTGCAACTCCAGCGCCCATCTGGCTACCCGACCGGAGGGGCTTTCGATGGAGTTCAACCATTTGAGGGCTAGGTGGTCGGTAACCACTTCGAACCGATACCCTTCCAAGTAGCACCTCATTTTCCTAATGGCCCATATAATGGCCAGACACTCTTTTTCCGTCGTCGTATAATTGCCCTCCGCGGCCGTGAGTCGACGGCTGGCGTACGCGATGACCCTCTCCTGGCCTTCGATATCTTGCGACAAGACTGCTCCTAGTCCCACGTCGCTAGCGTCAGTTTGCAACACAAACGTCTTGTCGAAGTCGGGACATCCTAACACGGGGGCGGTGGTTAACCTCTTTTTCACCTCCTCCAGCGCACTCTGTTGTTCGGGACACCACGACCACTTCCGGCCTTTCTTTAACAGGGCCGTCATCGGTTGGACCACGGTTGCGAAGTTAGGGACGAACCGGCGATACCAAGATGCCATGCCTAGCCACTGCCGGAGCTCCTTGAGACAGGTAGGGGACTTAAGGTTGGTAACGGCCGTCACTTTCTCCGGGTCGGTTTGTACCCCTTCGGCGCTAATCACGTGGCCTAGGTAAACTAACCTCCTCCTGAAGAACGCGCACTTCTTTGGATTCACCTTCAGGTTCGCCCTCCGCAGCCTACGGAAGACTTCGGCCAGGTTGGACAAATGTTGTTCCTCCGTGGCGCCTATAACGATGATATCGTCCAAATAGGCGAAGGCGAACGGCTCCATGTCCACACCGATCACGCCATCCAAAGCGCGTTGGAAGGTTGCGCTGGCCGAGTGAAGGCCTCTGCCCGGAACGGTGAAGGCTGTGAATTGACGGCTGTCCTTGGCCATGGGTATTTGCTAATAACCGTGCTTTAAGTCCAGCGTCGAAATGTATCGGGCTTGTCGTAGCTTCTCCAGAATATGGTTGATCCTGGGGACGGGGTACGCGTCGGGTACTGAGTGAGCGTTCAATTGCCTATAATCAACACACATGCGCCATTCACCCGTTTTCTTTTTGACCAACACTATGGGTGCGCTATGTGGACTCCGTGACGGTTCGATGGCGTCTTCGCGGAGTAGTTCGTCCACTTGGGTGTCGATCACGCTCTGCATTGCCGGATTCCTTGGGTAGTACCTTTGTTTCAAGGGTTTATCGTCTCGCATTATAATCCGATGCTCCGCCACGTGTGATACGCCTTGAAGCTCCTTGAAAAGCGCCAACTCGCGAGTGATGAATTCCCGCTGGTCGGGTCTCAGATCATCCCCTTCCGCCGTTCTTCGCCCTCTGCTTCGTCGATTTCATCTGGAAAGTCCTCCAAGGCCCTTCCCGGTTTGTCGTGCCTCCCGGTCCCGTCTCCTCCGTCGTTCTTTAATTCTCCTGATGGGGCCATCTGACGCATGATCCGGTTGTGTGCGGGGACCTCACTCTGCTCTGCATACCTGGTGTCCTTATCGTCGGGTTCCTGACCCCCTAGAACCGTCATACTCCTTCCTTCGAGTATTTCCGAGTTCGTATCCTCTGATGACATCCGATCGACTTTGCTCGGCCGCAGTCGGGGGTCTTCCACCGACGGGCGCAATTTTACCTTTAAGGTAGCTTCTCCGCACTGTATCCGTGTTCCCATTGCCGCCAAGAAATCCATACCTAATATCACGCGATCCAACATGGTTGGCATCACCAAGAATGGCATCCACATCCTAACTCCACGCGAGTACGCCATAGGTTCTTCACTGCCAGTCTTGACCGATCAGCTAACGCTATCGTCGTGATGATCTCCTGCATCTCCTCAGGTCTTGCTACCATACGAGCGTACCCTTCACTCGCAAAGCTCCTCGACGCTCCTGTATCCACCGTGGCATCCACCCATCGGCCTCCGATCTGCACGGAAGCGGTGATCAGGCCGTTGCTTATCCTTAATGGTGGGTTTCTTGGTGCCGGGCTGTTACTGCATTCGTCTCCGCTGCGCCCGCATCTCGGCGAAGACGTTGTTCGTTTCCCGGGGTATCCCGGCGACAACAGTCGACGGTCAATGTGTTCCTTCGTCCGCAGTCCCAACTAAAGTTCAGACGTGGGTTAGTGCAACCCCGCCTAAAGTGACCGACTTCTCCACATCTACTACAAGCTCGCTGTACGTCGACGTTCGAGAGGGGCTGTCTGATCATTCGGTGAGTTGTATTCCCTCCTTGAACGGGTACCCCGTGGCCTCGAAAGGGGTTCGGCGTCAGACGGGCGTTGGCCCTATCCCGGTCTGCAGTCGCCGTCCTAGGAATACCTGCGCGACTCGACGTCAGCTGCCTCACTTTTTCGTATTCCGTTGCCATTTGGGTTAATTGCTCCAGCGTCGCGAACTCGTGGCGTCTTATATACAGACGATATTCCGGTGCCATATTTTCGTAGATCCGATAGAGTTTTTCTTCCTTTTGGTATCCGGCTTGCTGCATCTTGGTCCTCAACTCGACCAAATATTCCTTAAACGTCTCATCCGCTCCCTGGATGTGAGCTCGGATTTCGTCCTCTAGTCGCTCGAAGTAACGTGGGAGCAGGAAGAAACTTAAGAACTCGGCGCGAAACTCTGCCCACGTAGCTGTCTGTAAGCGGCTCGTGCGGAACCATCGCGCTGCCCTACCTTCCAAAATCTCTGACATGGCGCGGGGTACTTCCTCCTGGTTGATTCCGTAGGTTGCTATCTTCTCTTCAAGTTCAGCGATCAAGGTCAGCGGGTCCGACGTCCCGTCGAATCGTAGATTCCATTTATGCATCCGCTCGGCTAGTAAATGACGAGGAAGAGTGATAATGAGTGGAACTTCTGACTCTGGCGGCTTCGACACGCCATGATTTCCGAGGGATGAGGCGATAAAATCTCGTGACGTGCCGGGATGGACACCTCGATAGCTTGTCAGCCTTCCGGGAAAACTATGACCGGCGAAATATGGAGCCTGACTCTGGTCAACTTGGGTTATCTTGGCTCCCGGCATAAACCCTTTGTCGCCTCCTAGGCGGTTCGGAGTGACGGCTCTCGAACTGTACTGCTCCTGTAGTTGAGTGAGTCGTTTCCACACCGATTCTGGAAACGATCCTGTGCTTACGAGTGTAGCGAACGCCTTCTGCGTTTCTGCTACGGTGCCGTCGGCGCTAAACCCGAACTCGAGTGCTAGAGCGGCTAACTCATCTTTACGCCGGGCATAAATCCATCGTACTCCTACGCCTGGATTTTCTATCGAATCGGCTTCCTCTTCCCTCTTCGTATTAGCCATGGTTTATTGTGATACGTGAACCTTCTTCCTTTTCCTTTGCTTTTCCTTTTCCTTTTCCTTTGCCTTTTCTTTTGCTCTCACAGATTCTTCGGGATAAAGATCTTTATCTTAGTGGGTCTTTAGGCCACTTTGGTGTTGCTCTAGTTAGCCTCAATGTCCCTGTTCGGGCGCCACTTGTAAGGATGCTCTCTGGCCAGGATACAACTCTCAGTCGGATCCAGAGGTCCTTTTACAAGAAATTTGTAAAGTCACTGAGACATAGGGCTAGAGAGTAATGTTCGCACGGCGAACGACGATTTTTGATCAATTATCCCGAAGTGGTCCAGGACCTTCGAGGGTACGATAACGTCAGACCACCAAGTCCTTCCGGGACGGAAAATTCCACGGGCTGGACCTTCGGGCGAGGCCGCAGCCGGGTTCTATCGTGGTTGGCCGAGATACGTGGTTCGAGGGGCCAAGAATCCCACGGGCTGGACCTTCGGGCGAGGCCGCAGCCGGATTCTATCGTGGTTGGCCGAAATACGTGGTCCGAGGGGCCAAGAATTCCACGGGCTGGACCTTCGGGCGAGGCCGCAGCCGGGTTCTATCGTGGTTGGCCGGCTGGAAACAAGTTTGATTAGTCGGAAGGATCTGCCTTTCCGTTAAGATGTGGGATTAATAGGGGCCGGTGAGAGGATCTTCCATCTCACCGTCGGAGTTAATAGGTTACGAAGGGATCTGCCACTTCGCGGTAGGATACGAGGAGAGGATGCGTGAGAGGATCTTCCGTCTCGCCGCGGGGGTTAGTAGGACACGAAGGGATCTGCCACTTCGCGGTAGGATATTAGAGGGGAATGCGTGAGAGGATCTTCCGTCTCGCCGCGGGGGTTAGTAGGGCACGAAGGGATCTGCCACTTCGCGGGGGAGGGGGATTAAGTAGGAGAATGAGGGGGATCTTCCGCCTCACTACGCAGGCAGGTTAGTGGGTGAAATTCAGTAGATCGGGATAACGTGTATGTATATGGTGCAAATAATTTACCGCTTCCAATTGGCTCATCAGTCGCTAACGGCCTGAATCACTCGGGGAACAAAGGGGTACGGGGTAAAAAATAAAATGCATAACAATCCGGCTTGACGTTTCTTTTCGTACGAGTTCACTCAGTTTAATTCTTTGGGTTTTAAAACGTCCCTGTGTTTCACTGCGCCGATTACACTGATTCACTAACCTTATTTCCTACCGACCGCGTTCTCTTTCACACGTGTTTTCTTTATTTTTACTTTGTTCGCGTGCGCGACCGATCGCTTCGAAGTCCAAGAGCCGAGAGCCTCCCGGAAACCGCCGTGTGACCCTCTCATCCTTTTGGACCTTTCTCACCAAGGAAGGTTTGGTATTTTCCCTATTTTCCAGTATTTTTCTCTATGGTTGCCACCTCGGGCGGATGGTGCGGAACCAAACTTGACCTATTTTGGTTTTATACCCAAAAATCCATAAGACCGCTTAACCATTATTAAATTATAATACTTCATTTTAAATCTCTTACATACTAATGGTAATAATGTGAAACTTAGATAACTATTGCTTAAATATATATTGTGGCGGACTAGCCGTCAGGCGGGATCGTCACATAGTGCAGGTCTATCTAAGTAACGGGTACATTTCCATAGCCGCTGTTTACTGCAGCATCGCTTTACAATTTCCGAAGGACAATTCATGGATTTTCACAACTTACTTGCAAATTGCTTCATAGCAGCAGAAGATTATAATGCCAAACATACACACTGGGGATCACGAGTGCTGACTCTCAAAAGAAGGCAATAATAATTGCAATTATAAAACTGAGCAACATTTTGGCCAGCAGACCCCAGAAAAGTCCCAGACTTAACAGATTTTGCGGTGACAAAAAATATTCCACGCAATATAATAAGCGCCAAAGCGCTTTCGGACCTTTCATCTGACCATGCGCCAGTGCTAATTCTTCTTCTTTAAAGCCCAGAAACTACAGATCGCCCCCAGAGACTGACATTGCACAGAACAAATAAAATAACAGGTCGTGTTGGCCAGGGAAGCTGCTAGGTGGTTGGTGTGGACAACGAGTCGATCGTTGTACCGACTCGAGTGGCGGTTTATCTGTTCCCTGACTGAAGGAATGTGGAGATCATTTCCTAGGGCGTCGTTCCTGATGTACCAGAGCGCATTTGCAATCATTAGAGTCTGAAGCCATGCCCCATAATTGGATGCAGTAGGTCATTGAGGGCACCACAATTGATTTATATAGCAACACTTTGTTGCCAAGGCTGAGCTTGCTTGAAGGCTTAAGCATCCAATTCAGTTTCCTGAGTTTAGTGGCTGCAATTTTTTGGATGTGCCCTTTCCAGGAGAGCCGCTTGTCCAGGATCAGACCCAAGTACTGCGCCTGGGGTGATTGCGGGATTGTGATATGGTGGAGTTTAACTCTAGGAAGCACCTTTCCTCGAAGAATAAAATTGCAATGTTGCGACTTTCTTCCATTAATAGCTATATTCCACCTGTTTGTCCACTTGCCGTACAGATCCAGGAAGTCCTGGGTGATCCTTGATGCCTCGACTCGGCAGGAGGAGTTCACAAGAAAGGCAGT